CAACAATTTTTGCTTTATTTGTTAACTACATTTGTATTAAATTGTTTATCATCTTACAAATAACCATTATTTTCTTAAAAGAGAAACCTTATCATTTCTGATGTAAAAATGCGGCAATCTTTCAATTCCTTAAATTAAGGTACTTTTAAGGGCATTAATATAATTAGCAAGTAAGAAATATGGGATACTTTAACAGGCATTGTCTATCTTTTAATCCATTCACTATTAAGGGGATTTTCAAAATTAGAACTGACTGAATAGCGAACAGTGCAGACTTTGTCCTTTGTGTAAACCAGCCTTTTTGTTTGGTACATCCGGTTTCCGCTGGCAGACGAAGGGTTAATGTGAAATGGAAATTTTTACTTTAAGTAATACAGTTCACTTTTTTTGGCTTATATCCGATAGAAATTGCATTGAGTTAACATTGTTTTTATCATAGCTTCAAATTTCAAAATGCGCTTACAAAATTAATGTTGATACAGACGGACACATAAAGACAAGTCAATTTTAGAAAATTTGATTTATCACTATTTGAAGAGAAAACAAAACAAAATACGTGTATTTCTAGTGTTGTTATTTTAAACAATTGTAATGGAATTACTCACCAATGAATGTAAACGACGAGCTTCTGCAGAGAATGTGTGTATATTATATGTGTATTCCAAATATATGCACTAGAAATTAAACACGATTGATTAAACAAATTCAACAGTCCATACAATATCGGCCACAAAAAAGGCAACATTCAAAACTGTAAAATAAGTGTTATATCTTTTTTACGGTGTGTTAATGAAAAATCGATCGTTCACTCCATCTGTTGCAACTTAACGCTACTATACCATGTGACATGTTTATCAAAATGCTATTTACATTTGTAATTTTTAATAATTATTTACTTTTTTATTGTAGAGATCATATAGGCGTACATGTTAACATAGTCATATAGGAATTGAGAGAATAGAACAACATGGTCTTAATTTTTGTTTAGAAAAGATTGTCAACAGGCTTACAATTAAGGTTACGAGTTTATTTCTTTTACACCCTTTACAAGATCCGTGAGAGTTTTTTTTAAATTTACTTGTTTTTATAATAGCAAATAAAACCTTTCCCAACCAGGAGGTGAAATTGATGTTTTTGATATGTTTTTTTTCCGTCAAATATACTCTTACTTTTTCCTTCGTTGATATAAGCTTAAATGATTTAGAAATTTTCGCATTGCTTTGCCGATCAAGGTGCCCTAAACGATCGCAAATCAACTTCCATTTTGAATCAAACTAGCTGTATGCTTGAATGAGAGAAAATGTATGGTTATACTTTCTTCCAGTGACAACAGTATGATAAATTCAATAAAAACCCTTCTATCAAAATGGTATCTTATCCAACACGACTAGTAAGATTAAAACAGCTCATATTGTTAAAAACGTCATGCTGCACAAACATTTTGGCAACATACTTGATTGTGTAGTTAATACGTAAGAGGTACCTTGTTCTCATTTTCTACATTTTATCTTTATTTAGAATTTTGCGGGATATACAGTGGTCACACGTTTTTTGTTTGTTTTGTTTTGCTTTGTTGTTGTTGTTTCAGGTCTTTTGTAAGTGATATATTTTCAGAGCAAATGAAATATGAATACATTTTAGTCATATGAAATAATATATAAGTGTACATATTGGCAACAAGTTATGGATGTCCAGTTAATTGGCTGGAAAAAACGTTTTCCTCTTTCTAATGTTAAATATCAGTTGCAAAACTCTTTTTATAATAAAAAGCCCTTAGTAAAACTTATGGCATACTGTATGCACAAATCATAAACAGTTTTCCGTAATATTAGAATAGAATTAACAGACAAGTTGCATAAATGCTTAGCATGTCATGTAGACAAACAGACTTTCCTGTGTAGTCTGACGAAATATTTTCTAATTGAAAAATAACGTTCAAAAACCCAAAGGAATCCTTTAAAATATATTCAAATCATATAAACATACATATGACTGCATGATAATTAAAACGATACCCATGGGTTTCTTTTCCAGTCTGTAACAAATTAATTTCAAATCTAAAAGCAATCATGTTTTCATTCTTGATGATACGATTTCTTCTGTTAGAAGTATATTAGCTTGACATTGTTATGTGAGCTTGAATTTGCTAACGTGCATTGAGATTCTTTTTGCGCAGTTGATTGATGAAAATACATCCACAGTTTCTGTGACTTTGTTTGCTTATTTTGCTTATAAAATGCAATCATGCAAATTGCAGACTGTGTTTGTATTTGATTTAAAGTTTATGAGAAAATGATTTTTTTTTAATCTGTATCTGTACTTCTGTATATACCTGAAAAAGTACGAGATCAATCGTTTCATAATACTTATATAACATGTAACTTAACAACAATTATGTGTTAGAGTTCAATTACTCTTACGCACAAAGGAAAGGCTTTTCATAAATTAATATTATAATAAACAAAGATAGGGCAGACATAAATCATTGATATATTCATAGTTTCCGCGTGAGGAAGCCATCCAGCTTACGAAACGTTTGTGGTTCTTCTCTACTTAGATGCCCGGTCGCACGCCTGTAAAAGTGCTCGGAGGGGCACCTTTGGTCTCCCTCACACAATAAAGCTTGAAAGTTGCCATAAGACATATGCTGTGTTTGTGCGATGTAACGACGCCCCCATCCCTCTCCCTTGAGAAAGAAAACAAAAATTGCAAATTAAAGAATATTTTTTTTTAAAAAAATGCAACCCGAAACTTATCGAGATGTTTTGGTTTTAATTCAAACTAGATTTATCTATAATTATCACGAGAATTAGAAAAATATCATAAGGCATAATGTGCCTTTAATATCATATTCATACCATTATTTGGCATCGATTATGCTCTTGAGAAACGAAATTATTGGGATTAGCTTCCTCCTTGTATGACATTTTACTTTGATTGGTTTAATTCAACAGTTTTATGTTTCTAATGATATTGATATTTATCAGTATTTGATACGAGTTAAAGCACAATCCAAGTAGTATGTTGTTACGGCGCGTTATTGGCAATTGACCGCTTTCTCCGTCTATAATTACGTTAATGATGCATGTAACAAACAACCACTGCTAGCAGCTGCGCTATGTTTATACAATCATCAAACGGTCATATTACATTGTTTTAATGATTTTTTCACGATCAATCAAGCTTACCGACATAAAGAAATTTATGTTACAGAAAAATATAGACCATAATCATCTTGTTCAATGCGTTGGAAATTATTATGGTTGTATGTGTATGTTAAACGCATTTAGGACGGTTTTTATGGTTGTGTGCGTGCGTTCGTGAGTAGTAGTTTTTTTGCTGTTTTTTTTCCCCTTTTTATTCCTTTTTTTCTTTCCGCCCAAGATATCAAAATTAGGAATATTTAGGGAGATAAATGTATTTGATATCGATACAATACCTACGTTTGTAGAAACGATGGATCATAGACTTTTTGTGTCGTTAGGTGTATCCTTCACTTTACATGTTTCAGAAAAAAAATTAAAGGAGTTAATTCCTATATATCACTCGCAATTATTTAAAACTCAATTTAGTGTTTGTATGAAAAAATATATGTTCCTCATCCAGTTTTAGAATTTATAATTTATTAAATCTAAACAACTACATGTACATATTTAAACTGGAAACATGTATATCAGACTAACTTTAAATGTCAACCGCTTAAGCCAGTGCTAAGGGGACCCGAGGGATGTTGCACGTTTTAATAATCCCTTATGTACAGACTCAAACAAACGAGTCTGTAGTTTTCATGTAATTTTGTTTTGGGTAATGCTTCCGTGGGATAACCTTTTTCAGAAAGTTAGTAATACAAATTGTCAAGAAAATATAAACAGGCAAACTTATATATTGTTAAGAATGGACGGCAATTATTTCCGCAATCATCAAAGCATTAGTCTTCAATTCTTGATATTTACCATACACAAATGAATTATATGTACGTGTCTTGATTAATCGTCTTCTTTTGTTTAATAGTCATGATATCTTTATCGTTATGATTTATTTTGAGGTTGATATTAACTGCCAGTCACTGTTATTAACTAGAAGAAAAGAAATATGGCATCGATAATTCCGTAAAGCCTATTTGCTTAAATATATAGATAAATTACAGTTAAGAAATTGCTATGTTTGTTTTTGTTTAGTCTGTAACAAAAAGGCAATAAGCAACATTAACTTGGTCTCGTGGCGCATTATCCTTAGCAAAACTGATCTAATATTAAAAAGTTGTGTTCATTGCTTCCCGAAGATTTCCTGTTTTTCAGTTGTTCCTATCCCCGTCCTTTCAAGAGAGAAAAATGACAACAGAACCTAATGTGTTTTAGTCACCATAACATCATACATCTATCTTCAATGGAATTGTATATTCTGTATCATTGGTTTTAGACTTTTACTGTTATAAGGTTAGGCCTTATTAAATATGAATGCTGAAATATAAACTTAAGAACGCAAATTGTAAGAAATGTAACATATCCTATAAATCTTATTAAATTGATTTGCTGCATAAAATGAGGTAAGCACATGTTAGGATGTCTAGATAAAATCTTTAATCTTGAATGCCGCTTAACATTATATTAGTCTGTAAATGTACGGCTGCTGCTACAGTTATTAAATATGCATGTTTTTTCTATTATCAGATTATTTTAATTCTCTTTTAATATTATTGCTTGCCATGTTAATGTTGTAACACATGTAATGCACCAATGACCGTTTTTTAAAAGGATAAAAGGACGAACAAGTTCTATAATATTTCACCATATGGACAGTGAGACAATTGGTTGTAAGTCACGTTTTAATGACATATCATCAAAATGTTGCTGTGCTTCATTCTATAACACATTAAACCAATTCAAATACAATTATCAATTATGGGCAAAACACTTAGATAAAATAACAAAGAAATGCTGAATATAAATCATTATTTATTACAACATACAATTATAGTAAGTGTTATATATTTGTTAATGTTACAGTTCATTCTGTGAAAAACATAATTGCTGGTTAAGTAGCTTTTCAGTTGTCCTCTACCACTGTAACTTTCACTGATCCAAATTGAGGCGGGCTGGAATTGACTCTACAAGTGTATACTCCTTGGTCGGAAGATTTAGCCCTGTCGACACTAAAAGGTTCCAGTCTCTGTTGTATGGTCTCTGAATTGTCACTCTGGAATCTTTTATAAGAATGTTGACACCTGATGTTATCTTCTTGCTACCTTTTTCCCATGTAACCTGGAGGTAAATATAAAATATAAAATGCTTTTATAAGGGTTGGTGACACCTGATGTTATCTGTTTGCTACCTTTTTCCCATGTGACCTGATGTAAGTAAAGGATATACACGTAAATTACTATTTAAGGCGTTTTTTTATAAAGTATCTGTTTGCGAAAGAACGAATATTAATATAAGAGACTGTATTGAATATGACTGTGTAAAATTATGTAGATATTTAATTTTGAACATGTAACATTCATAATAGTCTAAATATAACCCATATATTGTACCACATAATTGGTATATATCTGCCATTATGAATATTTCTACACATGTTATAAAGCTGCCCTTCTTGATTATTTGGTTATCTCTTTTGAACATTTTTTGTTTTGTTATTTCATGGAATATATTTTATTAATATTGTTGATATATAAAGCTAATTAAGAAATATAACGCAACGCCAAGGGGGTCTTAAAAATGAAAATGACTGATCAGCCAGTCTCTATAGTCATTTAACGGACCGAAACAATACGGTATTATAGTAAGATATAATATTATAAAATGTCCTTACGGTATTTGATCCCAGATCATCCACAGCACATTGTAGATATATTTCTTCGCCTTTGTATACTTCCAACTGCTTTAAAGGAACATCTATAGCTGCGGTCTCGGATACATCTGTTAATGTAATAGTTTGATTAAATTAATTTGTATTCATTGTAAAGTACATCATTATACAGAGTTACATGACAATGTCAAAGATACTGCAAAATGTTACGTGTGCCAGGCTTATATATCGTAACATTTTTAATGAGATGTTTTGAGAAATATGCGCAATATCCAACTTGTTTATTAATACGTTTTGCGTCATTACGATCATAACTAGCCCGATATGGGTAATTATAAAAGGACACTATTCCGATATGAACCCTTGCACATTGCAATGTTCTATTTGACAACGAATAAACTTGAAAGTATTCAATTTGAACACGTAGCAATTAATTGCAAACACGTCAGGTATTGTTTATAAGTTTTTGTTTGTAGAAAATAATAACAATGAAATAATGTTTTTCTTTGAAACACCAATGAACAGCAAAAATGTAAGTTCATGACAACAATAAAGCAATGTTTTCCTTGAAACACAATCAATTAATAGCAAAAATGTCGTTTTATGGTGTCTTATTTTTAGAAAAGATAACAACTTGATACTGTTTCAATAAAAAAGCAAAAATGCAAGTTCATATTTTGACGTGTTTTTTGTAAACATATCAAATTAATCGCAGATAGAATACAAAAAAGTCATGTAGAAAAAAGTTTTGGTTTTGTTTTTATGTTTTAGTTTAATTTGTTTATTTTATTCATAATATTTCCTTTTGAACATTTAATAAGAGTTTAACGTTTGAAAGAGAAAAATATCTGAAAATTACGTTTAATAAACATCGTTCTTCTTTTACAAAAAAATAAAATAAATAAAGCATGTCTAAACTTACGTGCAACTAAAATGATCGCTGCGCATAGTGTTGAAAGACGAAAAAGAGATTTTCCAATCATTTTCAGAACGTTTGTGGTAGATACTGAATAATCTAAAAAAGTTTTAACTCTTTGTCTGTCTCTCAGAATCCAATGTTTACCAACTGCAAATGGGTCCCTTTATATACATATGCCATGAACTTTCCAACGGTCATTTAATGAACCAAATTGGCAATAATCACTTTAACATTCAATTTTATTATCAAATTTTGTAATTAACATCGCCCTTGGCCAGTAAGCATTATAAAAGAGTGGAGGTGTGTTGAAGAGGCGAGTAATTATCTCCATTGTAGGCTTCTGACAAATGATTTATGTATAATGTAATGATAACTATAATTATGTTATCTTTGGGGCTGTTTTGTACCCTTTAAAATAAAAGGCGTTTAAAGGCACATTATGTCCAAGGAATGTTTTTACTTTTATTTCTAAAATGTCTGTTATTTTCGAACAACTTTTATAGTTTTTTAAAAGATACTCATTGATCAACTATCTGAGCAATTTTTTTCATATGTTGCTTTTTGGGCAATTAGTACAATTATAGTGATTAAGTATTTTATATGGATGTCAAAGTACTACTTTGTTTACTTTTTGTTACTTTTGTGACAAATAATTTCACATTTAGTGCTACTTGTTTAGGTAACAAGCATCTAACATGCTGTTATACCATTATTTAAATGTTATAAAACTAATGTTTGCCCTTTCAAAGGAAGTAAAAATTAATTCATTTCTTGGACATAGTGTGCCTTTAAAGTTAAATGGGTTTTTTTTTGTTTTTTTTTTGTTTTTGATTTAAATATTTTAAAACAATATATTTTGTTTGGCAAAAAAGCATAAACATCACCTTTTTAAATTATCATTTCAGTAAGTAAAACATTTTAAAACCTTTAACTTCCCTTTGTGGCTGAAGGGCTGCATTTAATGGTTGAAGTATCAGAATTGCAGCCACAGTTTATCCCTGCATGATCGTAAGTGGCGATAAAGTGGTTTTAATGACTGTAGTCTTTGCATCTTTTAGTTCAAGCAGGTGGATGCGTTTGACCACTTGTGTTGCTTTGGAGATTGTAACACCCGAGGTTAGACAAAGTTATCTTTCCTGTTCAGCGCCATATTACCTAAATTGTGTTCATGCGCCGTAAAAATACAAATAATTTTACAAAGATATATCATTTTACATCACAATATTACTGCATGGTTTGGAAAATAAATAATTTTTATTTAAGTAAACGGTAATTCTTTCACGACAACATTATTCATAAACCAGTGCAAGATTTATATTTTATTATTTTCTTCACAAAAATTCGTTTATTATCATTTTCTTTTTAAATTTAATTCAACGTGCCTTAACTCTTCAAAAAGGAAGAAAATGAGATGAAAAAAAGACAAATGAAAAGAAAACTGGCAATAAATGCTTCTATTTATCACATTCGCTATTCGGATAGTTGCTCGCTTGTGAATTGTTGCCGATTGCCACTTAAAATATGATCTGTTTATACTACGTAAATAACGAAAGGACTCCACTGACCTTTTAATTTTTTAATGAAGGAACGGAATTCTTTCAGGAACCACTAACATGTGTGTATAATTTTTTTACAAAAAAATAACAACAATATTTAAATAAAAGTTATAGTAGTGTCTTAATTGAAAGACTGTTTGCAATTTTCAAATACATTGGATAGCGCATGCGCAAAATATCACTAAAACTCTTTAATATTTAGTTTGAAGGGCTGAATACTTTTTTATGTAAATATAATTGTTGTTTTCTTTTTTTAAATATACAGAAAAGTCATTTCTTTTGATCGTTTTCAGATTTGACCAGTTACATTATCGTAAAGCTTTGGAAATGCTTACAGTACATTGTGCCAATTAAAGAAATCATGTGCACAAATTACAAAAAAAATAATGGCATTATTTATCATGATAAAGGATGTCTATATAATAATTATTTAAAACGTAATAACAAATAATAGTGGACGGATGGACAATTCCGAAATTGATCATGAATTACTTTTATGTAATTAATTTTAATTCATTTAATTGAGCGAGCCAGTGGCCGCAATATCCATTGACCACGTACATCAGAACGCTTCCGGAAATGACACAATGACACAATGACACAATGAAAGGTTAACCTAAAGTTTACGACATGATAAGTGACTGACACGTGAAAATTATATTTCGAGCGTTATGTATACTCATTCGGCAACGTGCGCAGGATATTTTCCCATACATTCGTCATCAACTCTGGTACATAGTTAATTTAACTTTTACGGCAAGGAAGCGTTTAGTACTCGAGTCATATTCATTTGTAGCGGCACGGTAAAGTGTTTCAAAAAACACGATCTGGAGTTGATGTACGGGATGTACGGGGGAGGAACTGTACACGAAGGATGTAGTTTTTATGATAACTTGTCAGGAGTTGTTATGATAACTGTCACGGAGTTCCTGGAAAACGTTACGGATTTCGTCGGAAAACTTATTTGTATTCTGGAGAAACACACGTTATAAAAATTGTAGCTTATAAAACAACTGAAACATGCCGTAACTTAGCACAAGAAACACACTAGCAGTAACAAATTGAAAGTTATCATAATAACTCTAGAACATCATCAGTGTTATCACAAGAACTCTGTGACATTTTAAAAACAGAGCATAAATGTGTCAGCCGTGGCTTTGTGTTTACAACTTTCCATTATAAAAAGGTAATTAAGTATGGCAACGAAGAACACCAATTGAGAGGCCAATGTGTACGAATGAGCTAATAATTTGAAATTTACTTAAAACTACCATATTTTAAGCAAGAGGTGTTGAAAAATGGACTAAAAAGCTTTTTCTGACACAACTTACAATATGTAAGTCAATGTTTAAAAATCAAAGTTCAATTTAGCATTACAAACTCCCTTTTTTAATTATGAAAAATACCATTTTTCACAAGTGTCTCTTCGGTATATAAACAAGTTTTCTTTTCCGAAAAAATCCGTAACAGATATCATAAGAACTCCTGACAATTTTTCATAAGATTATTTTCATAAGAACTTCATCCTTCCTGTAACAGTTCTATCTAAATTGGTTTAATACTTAATACCTTATGATTTTATATCTAATGATTTTTTAAAAATTATGACGTGCATTTTGAAAGAGATTGCATTATTTCGTTCTGATCTGAAATCATTTCAATGTCTAAAAAATCAAGTAATTAAAAACAAAATATGTAAAATGACAAATACATGATAATTAATTAATTTATTAAAACGTTATCATTACCGTTAATTTGATCTAAAAGCCTGATTAATATTCATCCAAACATACGTCAACTTGCATGCATGCATTGTAACTATGTGAGTAAAACTGTCATTAAAATGTATGCCCCGGGTGAGGATCGAACTCAGGACCTTCAGATGGCTCGTGATATACTGATTATGAGACTGACCCGCTACCTACTGCGCTACCGAGGCAGATATATACGACATGATATGCACGTTTTAACGGTTTGTTACACATGTTTCTTACAACTAAATACAAATGTTGCTTGATGTACAAATTGCATGCTTCAACAGTAAGCATGTTGTTAATTCACTGTTTATCAACCTCGTTACAACACAGATACAGAAACAACTTTTCTTAAAAATGTAATTCAAAAAGAAATATGCTCAATCAATAAATGCCACCATGATAATCGGTTTTGAAACATTTGGAATTAAACAAACAAATAAATACATATACATATTCATAAACGCAGTAAACGTTCTGCCGAGTAATACTTTGTGGAACAATATCTTCTTTAAACAACAAAAACATTTTTATCAGACTTAAAATTAACAATGAATTCTACCTCAATTTAGCAACACATATCATCAACGACAAAATTGATTGCCCCACAAATGGTGTTGCTCTATAGGGTTAATTTTATGTATTCAGCTTAATTACAATGACATATATGTAGATTCTTATTATTTAATCATTAAAATTGTTATAAATGTTTGATAAATATTCGCACCTTATTAACAAGAACGGACATCTATTATTCTTTATTAAAGCTATCATAACAAAATACATAATGCAATCGGAATTTCTCGGCTATGATCAATAATAACCTCAGACTTAATGCGGACAATTATATATCTTAAATCACTTTCAGAGTCATAATTTCATAAATACCACATAACCATTTTTTATAAAATTTTAACAAAAACTAAATGTAAAGAACAACAAAATGTTAAGATCATCGTTTAAAGTGTCATGGAAACAAAAATATTAGTAGAGCAAAACATGAAACAGCTGTTTAACTTATATCAATCTGGATTTTGCTGATACAATATTTAGGATATGTTGTAAGATATATGATAAAAAATTCCTCTAGTTGTAAGATATATGATAGAATTTCCTCTAATAATAAACAATACAGCCTATATCTGAGATACCTTATTTTTAACACCTCTGTGTATTTTATACGATATCCCTGCCTGAGAACATGTTAGTCCACAAGGTTTATATGAACACATATGCAGATATTTTTTAATTTTATTTCTTTTTACAAAACACTATGTTCATGTTTACATTGTGAGTTCTGTAAAATTAGTGTTTTGAATAACCTTATGTTATGTAACTTTACTGCTATTTGAGCCTCTTTGTATCTTTATCAATGCACTCTTAAAGTTTATATAATTCTTTTTTAAGTCCGATTGTGTTGAAAACTTATTGAAAAACACTCTCAAATCTAATATAATGTATTGAATGTTCAAGGATTAATTCAATGATTTCAATGAGGAAATAACTAATCGCTTTAATACAATGTACATGTACTACAATTAAATAACAAAACATTTTACAGTTGTTAGCGGTTACATGGGATATATTTAGTCAGAAATAATAAAATTACAAGGACAATAGATCTGAATAATATAATGCATTGAATAAATATCTCGTTTATTACAAAATGTGAATATTTGCAATAGCATAACCTCAAAAGTATTCAAACATTTGTTATTCTTCGTGTCCCTCAGAAGCATATTTTCCAGCACATTGTATGTTGAGAATTAAATACAGCTTAAGGCGTTGCTATGGGGCGTAAG